GCGTCATTCGAATTCCGGTGTTTTGTTAGTTTATCTGCATTCAAAATTACTAGGCGAATATACAAAGAACAGAGCCTCCCAGTGGCACAGCGGTATGTATGCGAACTTACAACGGGTTTCGATACCCGTGGTGGGCAGGGCACAGATAGCCCTTTGTGCTTAACTACAAACAAATAACAGAAAAATCTTACGCAAAACAAAATCACAAATACGATGAAGATTTTGATGAAACATAATGGCTTTTAGGAGAAGTATAGAAAACGTCTTTAGATATATCCTGCTGTCTTACTAACCCTAATAAGCGTCCTCCTGCCTGCTTTTTTTAGATCAAAATATATTTCAAAAAACGAGCAAACGAGTAAATATACTTTAGGTTATAAACAGTATACTTACACACTTAAAAGAGTTACTAATAACACTACACAAATTTTCAAAAGTGGAATTTACAACTCCAAGAAACTAGAAAATGTTCAAAGTTTGAAAATTCAATTTCTGACAGGTATCTTAATATTCATGAACGTTCTCTCTACGAAGGTTATATTTGGCAAGTTATTAACGTTTAATGACCTCATCTGGAAAATTACCAGTTTTTTCTCTTTCTTTTATCCTTCCTCAAATGTTTTATTTTCCATCTCCATCATGGCTTCAAAATTCTTTATTTCATGCTGACTGCATCTTGATCTACCATTAATATCTTGTTTGTAGATGCAGCCTTATGTTGCGATTTGTGGAAAGCGTCTACTTTCGTGAATCAGTAAAACAGCTGGTTTTCTGTAATCTCCACTATCATATATCCTATTAGAACCTCCTGAATGGCGTACAGTTAACGTTTTGAGTTCATTATTCTGGACTTAAATTCGAACCCGCCAGTCTTCTTGATCGTCCTATAGTTGTTCTTCCAACCAAGTTCATTTTTCTACCTCCAGTTATCTTTGCTGTATGTGTCCAGTTCCCTAAATATCTCGTCATTTTTGGAGATTCCTTAAAATGTTTCGTGATCTGCGAATCACCTCGAGCGAAAATAATTTCCTATTCTTCCTTCTTAAAATGGTTCTATTTAAATTCGAAATGCTCCTACTTTAAAGTTTTTTAATGATTTTCTTCAATTGACAAGATTCTATTCCTCACTGTTATAAGGCCTTAAAGAAGTTCTTTCTTGAAATATCTATGAAAAGAATGCTTTAAAGCTCAAAATCTCTATAAAAAATATTTCTTTTATTGAAATTCCACGTTCACAAATTTGTTCAAACGTTACTGTTTTCTTTAGTATTGATGATTGTGAGCGTCTGTTATTGGTAAAGTCCCACAGTATTTCGACTTGCCAGAGTTTATTTTTAGTTTTCACGTAATACATACAAGGCCCTGATTAAATGACATTTTCAGTTCATTAGTGTTAAATACTGCTCGTACAATGAATAAATTTGCTTTCGAAAAATTTCAAAGTGCTCTCCAAGTTTCAGAACTTAAGTGTAACTGTATATATAATGCAAATTTTGATTTTTTTTTTCTTGTACGAGATCGCTAAATAGTAGTGTATAAACTAGAATTTTTTCTGAATAGAATAAAATAACAAATGTTGAGAAGAAATTAGAGAAACAAAACAGTTTATTTTACTGTTCTTGTTTAATCACTGATATTTGAAACAGTTTACAGGCTGGACAGTAAAAACGTTGGTATTATGTCGAATCCAAAACTGGTCATACATGATGCCAAGTCAAACTCTGCAGATATTCCAATCCTTTCCATGCACAGAAACTTTATTGTTCTATTAGAAACGAGAATATTGTATAGAACTAATGCATAAGCTCTAGGAAATTAAAGAGAAGTCATCACTTAGTTCCAGAAGGACGGATTAGTTAAATATCAGATGTTGGAACGTGTAAACGAACATAGATGAAGGATTTGAGTATAAGTAACATCCCCCCCCCCTGACAACTTTGGGTAGATAGAAGCTATACATAAAAACTATTATAGGATAAGTCTACTATAATCCAGAGCTAGTAAATTATACTATACCCAAATATTAAGTTTGTCACGTTCTAAAGTTTGTTTTGTTTTTGAATTTCGCGCAAAGCTACATGAGGGCTATCAGCGCTAGCCGTCCCTAATTTAGCAGTGTAAGGCTAGAGGGAAGGCAACTAGTCATCACCACCCACCGCAAACTCTTTTACCAACGGATTGACCGTCACATTATAACGCCCCCACGGCTGAAAGAGCGAGCATGTTTGGTGGGACAAAGATTTGAACCCGCGACCCTCAGATTGCGAGTCGAGCACCCTACCACCTGGCCATGTCGGGCCACACGTCCTAAAGAGCCCTCGGTTTCATATTTTATTCGACATGTCTGGGCAACATTGACGGAAGATATTTTATTTCTCACTTGAAACTTTATGAAGGCATATTGACTCAACAACATCAAAATATATTTTCTCACAGATTTCGTGATCAAAGCTTTGCTTACCGATATTATATATTTTTTTGTCCAAAATTGCAATAACTTTTATATAAAATTGAGCTTTCGAAGAGTTTGTTAATGTTACTAAATACACAATAGGATTAACTTGCGAAGTGCTCGACTAAATATGTGCGATTCAAGTTAATGTTACTAAATACACAATAGGATTAACTTGCGAAGTGCTCGACTAAATATGTGCGATTCAAATAAAATATTGTATAAAAAAAAAG